CTTACTGGAAAAAATAAGTGTTTTAAAATATTTGCATAAAAGTAGCGCTATTCAACACAATTATACTTTTCTACCTGTACTTAAAATGTTAAGTGTGACACTTTACTTTTTCTATTGCAAACTGTAGTCTTGGTATCAAGATAGTAGTAAGAATAACAGAATATAGCTCTACTGGTGCCTTCATGTAAATTGATAAGTCTGTCATCTTTATTAGGAGTAATTTTGTGCTTATTGACTTCAGCAGATTCTCTTCTTCTGTAAGGCTGCCTTTGAAACCACATTTTAACTTTAAAAAGCATTCATTGCTTTGAAAAAAGAATTGGTAGATAAGATGAAAAGATTAGTAGGGACAATCTAAGGTTATTTAAATTTGGTTTTGGGGAAAGAAGACTAGTATATATTTTTAAAAAAAAAGAAATTCTGCACTGTTTTTGCTTTTAGTTGATCACTGAAATGTGCTGTTCTATCTAATACCAAATCAGGTGGTGATAGTTAACTCTTGCTGTGCATAATTATCAGTGTTATATGATATTATGCGCAGCAAGTATCTGCTCCATGAACTGTTTTCACGTCCCTGAAAGTGTAAAATGCTTCATTATTCCCAACTGAGGGTCATTTTGATCAGGGTAATAATCAGTTTCTCAAGGTTTGGAAAGTTCTTCCAGAGTTCTGGTTGCTTTCAGCAGAAAACTACTAAACCTATCCAGTGTCCCCCTGCATGTTTGGATGAGCTTTGTATTCCCTGTAAAAGCATTAGTGCTTGCTTTTGAAAAGACCTCTGAATTTTGAAAAACAAATATGCTTCAGAAAAGAAATGGCAGTTTATAAGGAAGACTACTGTATGACACTGGAGCATTCTACCTTGGGAGATAGTCTTGACACATCATAGTGTTATGGCCATAAGAAACAAAATTTGTGGAATGGGTATTTTTCTGACCTATTTTTTGCAATTTGAGTTCTATAATCTTTTTTTCCTCCTGGGTTTTCACTGTTATGTGGCTTCTTGTAAGTGTCAGGGTAGAAATCAGGTCTGCAATTGCAAAAACAAATGTAAAAAACATAATAGTGAAATCTTTTCTTCCAAAGTGATGCAGCAAGTAACTAATCCTGCAGCTTTTGCTACAGCTTTAATGAAAGGTACATACACACTATAGAATACCTCTTTTGAGGTAACTTCCTAGTCTTGTTTTCCTTAAATAATCAAAACTTGGGACTCTGAGTACCAAGGCTTTTTCCTTCCCCAAGATCAATACTCCCTTCTGCAAAGTAGGCAAATGCATGGGGAAATGTGCCCTTTCTGCATAACCCTACCAACTTCCCCCCCAAGAAAAAAGAAAAATATTGAAGGAAGTTTAATTTAAAAGCCAGAATATTCTGTGACACTAGTGACATTAATGGAATCCACTGTCTGCATCAAAATCTATAGTGTGTGTTCAAACAACTACTCTTAATTTGTAGAAATTAGTATACACAAGTGATCTTATCACTGTAAATGACTTTTTACTAATGAATGTATATCATATGAATGGTTCAAATTTGGCACTCTTCTTCCTCCAGCAATTGAGTCTAATTACATTTGTGTTGACTAGATTAATAGATTGTTGCTAAGAGTGAATGGGGAAGCTAATGAGGAAGTATGGGAGTCATCTTTGGTTTCCAGGGAATGAAGAAACAGATGTCCAGTTGGTTGTCAGATACAACTATGGCTTTCCATACATGTTCTTAAATCTGGTGAGGATTTTTCAGCTAGTGGATGCCTTAGGTTTCAAAATGTAATCCCTATTCCAACTCTGGAAGTGAAACCTACTATTTCTTGCAAGGCTGCTTTGATGCTTTGCAGAATTAACTCCAAAATTAACGAGGTAAATGATTTAAGAAGAATTCTGCTAGTGAAGACAAAGAGAGTCTTCCTGTTCATTTGCAAGTTGCAAGATATCTACATAGTCGTGCTCATGCATCCTTCTTTTGCCACCAGTTTACTGGCCTGCTTTCTTATTTATTTCTCTCCTTCCCTCTTCATAAAGATAGATATGGCCACTGTAGTTGGTTTTTAGCTTTTGTTACTAATTCTTTTTTTTTTTCTTTTCTTTGGATTTCCAGTAATCTAGTCTTTTTTAACCACAGATGCTGCAACCAAGTTAGCATTTTAGATATCTGCCCTAGGAAAATGCTAGAATGATTTTTGAAGGCTGTACTGTTGATTCTGAGTATTTCATGTATTCATGCCAGCATATGCTAATGAATCCATTCAAGATTTTTCTCTTGCATTTAAATAGACCCTGGACTGTAATGAACACATATTTCTACGAGATATGAACTAAAGGAAAGGTTAAAAAGAAATTAGGAAATTTAGAGGGAGGAGGACACTGGTAATGAAACAGAAGTGTTTGAGAACAAGCTTGCTTCTTTGGTCCTTTTACCTAAAACACTTGATATGTCTTGGCAGATTTCTGCTAAGACATAAGTGAAACAAGACAGATGAATAAATAGGATTGCCATGTTCAGTTAATGTTGTGTATTTCAGATACAAGGCCAAGCAGAAGGTGCAGTCTGAACGTGATGGTGTCCTTAGAGTCAAGATGAAACTTTTGTGGGTTTGTCCTGGTTCAGCAGTAGCAGTCATTTTTCTCCTTCTTAGTAGCTGGTGCAGTGCTGTGTTTTTGACTTTCAGCCTGGGAACAGTGCTAACACTGATGTTTTTAGTTGCTCCTTAGTAATGTTTACTCTGACCAAGGACTTTTGAGTCTCATGCTCTGCCAGCAAGGAGGGGAAGCTGGAAGGAAGCAGAGACAGGACACTTGACCCAAACTAGCCAAAGAGGTATTCCATACCACAGCATATCATACCCGGAATGTAGAACTAGAGGCAGTTACCCGGAAGGGCTAGATCACTGCTCAGGTCAGGCTGGGTATTGGTTGGTGGGTGGTGAGTGGTTGTATTCTCTTCCCTTGTTATTTCCCTTATCATTATTATTATTGGTGGTAGCAGGAGTGATTTGTGTTATACCTTAGTTACTGGACTGTGCCTATCTCAACCTGTGGGAGTTACATTCTTTTGATTCTCCTCCCCATCTCTCCAGGAGCGGGGGGGGAGGAAGAAGAGGGGAGGAGTGAGTGAGCGGCTGCGTGGTTCTGAGTTACCGGTTGGGCTTAAACCACAACAGGGTTTCAGTCTTCCCTTTCTAATTTAGATAAAGAAATATAATTTGTACTGTTAAAAATCACATTTAGGTTTCATTTTCAAAAAGTCAGTGAAATGAATGACATGCTGCATGAGCATATTACCTAAGATTTTTGAAAGAATTCAATTATTTCATGCTATTCTGTTATTCTCTGACTTGTGGATTTGTAAAGAGCCTTTTTATTGCCAGGTGACTTCTTACAATATGGCCTAATTCTTTCATTTCTGCTACTTCAGGAGCTTTTTACCTTTCCTAATGACATAGTTATTTTACTTTTATTTCATGTATGTCAGCTTTCATTAATATTTCTAGTGTTTTAAGTACATGCTTGGCACAAGTGAGTTTTTTTAGTTCTAAGCAGGTAGGATTCAAAAACAACTGAACTGTTCCGACAGCTGACAGGAGACATAACTTTTACTTGGGCGCTTGCAACAGCATTTAATAAATTTTATGAGTGAGGTAAGTATTTCAATTCTGAAATAAGATGAGTGACTGTAACTTAACAATTTCTCCATTATGGCTAAGGTACAGATAGTTTAAAGATTAGTGGCAATGGTAAAGCTCACTATCAAGCATGCTCTGACATCTGTGAAAGACTTTATTTGGGCTGTTCAGCCTGGAGAAGAGAAGCTGCATGGAGATGTCATAGAAGCTTTCCAGTACCTGAAGGAGCCCTATAAGGATGCTGGGGAGGGACTCTTCATTAGGAACTGTAGTGATAGGACAAGGCGTAATGGGTTAAAACTTAAACAGGGGAAGTTTAGATTAGATATAAGGAGGAAGTTCTTTACTGTGAGGGTGGTGAGGCACTGGAATGAGCTGCCCAGGGATGTTGTAAATGCTTCATCCCTGGAAGTGTTCAAGGCCAGGTTGAACAGAGTCTTTGGTGACATGATTTAGTGTGTGGTGTCCTTGCCCATGGCAGGGGGGGTTGGAACTGGATGATCTTAAGGCCTTTCCAACCCTAACTATTCTATGAGCCTCTGATTTGAATTTGCAACTGAGACATCTCACTGAAACTTTTCATGGACACTGTAGTGGATAAGAATATTATTTTTAAGTTGCACAGATGCCTGTTCTCCCTCTGTTATCTCCTCTAATGCTTCCAACTAATTCTTCCCAAATAGCTTGCCCAAAACATCAACAGTATATCATCTCCAAGATACCATTATCAAGACATTGTTTTTCCCAGTCAGAAATACATACCTTATCCCCATAGGTTTAATGGTATCAGTAGCTGGTGTTCAGCATGCTAATCTTCTTCAAGCTCTCACCAGCTTAGAAAATTTCATCCCAGTAAGAGTGCTGAATGAGTATGGGTCCTGATGTCCTCAGCAGCTCCAGCTCTTCAATGACTGCTTGCTGACTCCTTCAAGCCTTTGAGCCAGTAGCTTTAGAGATGATGAAAGATGAAAAAGCCCCTTGAACAAAAATGTTATTTGAAAACATTTTCACACCAAACACTGCAGTTATATTTTGATGGTTTATTTTTTAACTATGTGTTTACATTGCTGTTTCCCCTTCCTTTCTCTTCCACTGGCTTTCCTTTTCTTCATATAATCAATTGCTATACATACCTACAACATAACTTTTTGCCAAGCTTTGGTACATGGCACGCACACGATCACCTGACTTCTCAAAAAGAATATCCAATGGTCTAGAAACGCTTTCTAAGTTAATTGGTACCACATGGAAAATATTAGAACTTTTTGGATGCATAAAAAAAATTAGTTTTAGCTTCCCAGCGCAAGCTTCAGTGAAGAGTTTTACTTATGTGTTTATACAATATAATAATTTCTGTCATCTCTGTTTTATTCAGGTCATTGCCATTGTTATGGATATGTTTACAGATGTGGATATTTTTAGAGAAATTGTGGAGGCATCTGCTAGAGGGATTGCAGTGTATCTCCTGCTTGACGAGTCAAACTTCAGTCACTTTCTGAAAATGACGGAGAAACAAGGCTGTCAAGTTCAGAGGCTCAGGGTAAGGCTTCCTGTGTTCCTGTGCATGAATATTCACTCCTTGTTCCTATACAACCCACTGAACAGGGACTGTTATTTAAAAAGTGATTATCAAATATAGGCTTATTCGAATTAACAATAAGGTATAACTAGGTAAGCTCTCAGTAGAACCTTCTCTACAAATGTTTTAGAAAGATTTTTATCTTTTTGATGAGTCAAAACTAGAGTATTTAATAGAATTACACATTTTTTGTATATTATTTATAAAGTAATTTTCAATTATTATGTATTTAGGAACACTGCTTGAAAAACTAGGCTTTTTTTTTGCTTTCTCTTAAAGTAGATTGCAAATAGACGCATAAAGCTTATGTAAATTAATAAATTGCAGACTTCATGATCTTTTTCTTTGAAGTTGTTATGTATTAAAGTACTTTAAAAGGCCAACAATTCTACTTTATTCTATTTTATTAATGTTTTCCTGAAAACCCATAATATCATGTCTGTCTACATCATAGAATCACGGAATCAGCGAGGTTGGAAAAAACCTTTAAGTCATCAAGTCCAGCCATTACCCCAGGACTGCCAAGACCACCACTAAACCATGTCACTAGAGTGTATTACATTTATACATGAAAAATGTAATTTTATCTTCTAAGAATGAGAAGACTAACGCTTACATTTTTCACAAGATGTCCTGTACTGCTGTAATATTTAACAGGGATTAGAATATAAACCATGAGCTTCACTGACCCAAAGTAAATGCTTCATAAATACTTCTAGATTTACTGTACTGTAGATAGCACTGAAGAAATTGCAAAGATGCTGCCAGAGTCTCTTTGCAAAGCTATGAGTGCTGCCTTGGCTGAACTTCTGTATAGTTCTGTTTGCAGTTTCTTGTAGCTAGTTAGGTCATGTTCACACCAAGAAAAGAAATATTATAAAAGCACTTCTTAGCAGCATCCAGTTTAAGAGTCCCGTCTAAAAACCAGAGAGACATGTGGTGTATTAGTAAAGATAAAGCAGGTTTTGATAGTATTTTTGATCAAACCTGTATTTTATATCAATTTTTGCTCTGGAATGTTGACTTAGGTCCTTAAAAGTATTCCCATACCAATTTCCATTCTTGTTTCTTGTGTATGTGTGTGTGGGATTGCCCTCTGGTGGCCTAATAGGCAGAGCTATAGGGACTTTCAGAAAGAAAATATCAAAGCCATGTTGTGGATCTGTAAACACATGGTCATGATTGCCTTGGCGAAGTGAGTATTTGGCAGTATTTCCATACTCTGCAACTTGAGATTCCACCATGTGCTGAGTACTTGGGTCAGCTATGCCATAGAGGTTACCAAAAATGGTATATGTCTTTTTATGGCATGAGTTTTACCTTCCTAAAACAAAAAAAATTAGAAACATGGACAGACGTAAAACAGTTGACATCATCTACCTGGACTTGTGCAAAGCGTTCGACACTGTCCCACACGACATCTTTGTCTTTAAATTGGAGAGACATCAATTTGATGGATGGACCACTCGGAGGATAAAGAACTGGCTGGATGACTGCACGCAGACTTGTGGTCAATGGCTCAGTGTCCGGCTGGAGACCAGTAACGGGTGGTGTCCCTCAGGGATCAGTGTTGAGACCGGTCTTGTTCAACATCTTTGTCGCTGACATGGACAGTGGGATTGAGTGCGCCCTCAGCAAGTTTGCCGATGACACCAAGCTGTGTGGCTCGGATGATACGCTGGAGGGAAGGAATTCCATCAGCAGGGACCTTGACATGCTTGTGAGACGGGCTGATTCCAACCTTATGAAGTTTAACCATGCCAAGTGCAAGGTCCTACACGTGGGTCAGAGCAATCTGAGGCACAGCTACAGGTTGGGCAGAGAAGAGATTCAGAGCAGCCCTGTGGAGAAGGACTTGGGGGTGTTGGTTGGTGAGAAAATGAACATGAGCCGGCAGTGTGCCCTTGCAGCCCAGAAAGCCAACCATATCCTGGGCTGCATCAAAAGGAGTATGACCAGCAGGTCGAAGGAGGTGATCCTGCCCCTCTACTCTGCTCTTGTGAGACTTCACTTGGAGTACTGTGTGCAGTTCTGGTGTCCTCAACATAAAAAGGACATGGAACTGTTGGAACAAGTCCAGAGAAGAGCTACGAGGATGATCAGGGGCCTGGAGCACCTCCTGTATGAAGATAGGCTGAGAAAGTTGGGGCTGTTCAGCCTGGAGAAGAGAAGGCTGCGTGGGGATCTCATAGCAGCCTTCCAGTATCTGAAGGGGGCCTATAAGGATGCTGGGGAGGGACTCTTCATTAGGGACTATAGTGATAGGACAAGGGGTAACAGGTTCAAACTTAAACAAGGGAGGTTTAGACTGTATATGAGGAGGAAGTTCTTTACTGTAAGGGTGATGAGGCACTGGATTGGGTTGCCCAGGGAAGTTAAGAATGCTCCATCCCTGTTGGTGTTCAAGACCACTTTGGACAGAGCCTTGGGTGAGATGGTTTAGTGTGAGGTGACCCTGCCTATGGCAGGGGGTTGGAACTTGGTGATCTTAAGGTCCTTTCCAACCCTAACTATTCTATGATTCTATGAATTTCAAGTGATAGCTCAAAAAATGCCATTTTCAGAGTAATTCTGTGTGGTCTGTAGCTGTTTCAAAAGGTTAACTTCTTTTGGATGGATTTGAGGTTGCGTTTTTAATACGCTGTTATAGACCTACGGGCATTTATACTGTGGTTGAAAGAATTAACATACATACAAGTGGATTTTGTATGAATTAGTGTGGATTGGAGAAGTTTGGACTTGGCCACTGAAGACAGTCACGTTATCTTTTATATGTTTCTGTTCAGTAACGTTAGGAGAAATGCATCTTTATTCTGCGAGGTTTGCCTAGAATGCTACAAGTTTTATCAGAACATGAAAAATATATCCCAAAGAGCTAAACAGTATGCCTGTTGTGTGGTGGTTTTCCAGTTGATTTGTAATATGTCTCTTGAAATTAATGGTCTTTTTATCCAAGTGCTCCCTACCATAGTAAGTCTTTTGTGCCTTTATTGAGGATGAAGGGAAACTGCAGGTGACTATCAGGGAACAGTCAGTACTTTGGAGAATGTTTCTGCCTTTCCTTTTTCCCATCAGTCCAAGGTTTACAAAAACAAAGAAACATCTTCAGCTTTTTGTGCTCTTGACTTTCAGTCTTTCCCTTCTGTTCAGTGAAAGCAAAAAAGAGAACAGAGATATATGGATCCGTTTCTTTTCCTCAAGATGTAGCACCAGCAGCACTGGTCTTGTAATTCTCTGGCATGATTTGGTTCAGTCTTGCAGGAGTATGGCAGATGTTCCTCATGCCATGCACTCGTAAGGAGTTTCTGTAAAGCTTTTCTGATTCAACACTTTCTCTGGTGTTTTTTCTGCTCCTTTGAATCAGTAAAGAATGAGATGCAGTGATGAGAAAAACTGTATTTTTTGATTCAAATTTACAATTCAGTAGTATTCTGTATGAAAAAAGGAGGATTTTATTCATAAATCTACATTAAATATCTGTACAGGCTGTTTTCCTCATCTGTAGCATGGCTGTGTATCAGGGCATGTTTCCCTCTTTATTGAAAGATATAGCTGAAAAAACGGGTAAACTACATATTCTGTGAATTCTGTGTAGGAATTCTGATTGACTTTGTCACTGTCTGACTTGTTTGGTCAGCAGTTCATCTGCATAGGTAGATGGTGAGTCCTTACAGATTCAGACATTTTTCAGGTGATTTTTCTAAAACTAATAGCTAAATTTTTCGAAATGTGCTTTTTTTTTGCCTTTTTTTTTTTTTTTTAATGCTACTGACAGGTGCTGCAGCAAACTGTGAAATAGATTTGGTCTGCAGAATGCAGCACCAAGACAGCAATGTCCCTGAGTGTCCTACAGCCTGTCTTGGAGGAGGGAGAAGATCCTGTGTCTGACTTTAGAAACCTCTGAAACATCAAGTCCTTGATTAAAGTATTCTTCCATATGCATCCCCTAGCAGTCACTGACTTTCCAGTTGACTCACTGTGGCTGATTGTATCTACGTTTGCATGTCCCGTCAGGCTACCTTGGTTCCTTCATGATGCGTGAGTTTGTTGGTTTCTGGTTTGCCCAAGATTTTCCTCTCAGGATTCATAAATGAGCTACTGCTTTACCCACAGCGATGCAGTGATCAGTGACATACTACCATTAGCAGGGAAGTCCTATAGCCTCAGGATAAAACACAGCGTTTCATACTAAATGGGGCTTGCAGTTCAGTATGTATATATTTGCTGCTTCTAATCAAACTGCTTCTGTTGGTTTATGAGGAGCTCCACTCGAGCCCCCAACACAAGAAGGAAGTGGACCTGTTGGAGTGAGTCCAGAGGGCTGGAGCACCTCTCGTATAGAGACAGGCTGAGAGAGCTGGTGGTGTTCAGAGAAGGTCCTGGGGAGACCTTACAGCAGCCTTCCAATACCTAAAGGGGGCCTACAAGAAAGCTGGAAGAGGGGCTTTTTACAAGGGCATGTAGTGACAGGACAAGAGAGAATGGCTTTAAACTGACAGAGAGGGGATTTAGATTTGCTGTTATGAAGAAATTCTTCACTGTGAGGGTAGTGAGGCACTGGAAAAGGTTACCCAGGGAGGTAGGAGCAACCTGGTCTAGTGGAAGGTGTCAGAGCTCATTGCAAGGTGAGTGGGACTAGATAAGCTTTAAAGGTCCCTTCCAACCCAAACCCTTCTATGATTCTCAATGGAACGCGTTGTTACTATATATTCTTAAATGTCTGTATTTTGGGCAATGATTCAAGGTATGCATCCCTGGCACCTTATTAGAGGGTTTGAAGTAGGTGAAGAATGACAGATTAACTGCAGAGGAAAAGAAAGTGTGATGTGAAAAAAGGGAACATGATCACTGGAACATGCCTTTGTAATGCAATGTTCCTTTCTGTTAGTGGATGACCTACCAAGACAAGGAATGAGTACAGGATTAAGGAAGCAAGATCAAAAAGCTGCAGGAGGAGTAACACTGAGGAGAAGGAAAAGAAAAAAGAGGAAGCAGTGACTATGATTTTTCTAAAACCCAGAAATTTAATGTAAATTTTATTTATTTTTTATATATGCCTACTTGAAATTATATTTCAACTTATAAGTACCTAAGGCAAAGCTTTTTTTCATATAGTATAGTAATTTGCAAGCCATTAGCCTTGCTTGTGCCTCCAGCATTCCAGATTCCCAAGTGATATCCTGGCCAATACCTATCAGACCTTATCTCAGTAAGATTTGATGTGTTCAACTGTCATGTCATTAAGCCAGCATTGCTTGTTACGGTTATTTGAAAATGTATAAGCTGCCTCTCAAGTTACCTTTTTCAAATTATAATGACATAAATATATTTTAGTATAATTAAATATAAATCTGACATACAAATATGGGATATAAAATTGGGTAAAACAGTCATTAGGTAAATGCAAATTTCATTACTAAATTACAACATATTATTTTATAGTACATAAAGTTTACTATTATGATAATCTTTAGAATGGGTAAATTCCAGTATTTTTTTTTCTTTTTCAGGAATTACTTTTTTCCACACTGTTCTCCACACAACTAAAAGCTTTTTATGTAAATACTTTTAGTTAAAGCTTCAGTAGCTGCTGGAGAAAGAACACTTTTCTTCAGTGGGGTTGACTTATTCAAAGTTCAACAAAATCAGATTGGAAGAGTGGGAAAATTGACTTTCATTGATAAGAAGATTTCTAGTTGAAGTGCAGAAAACTTGAAAGACAGTGCTAGATTGCCAGAAGTGCTTAGCAGGTAGAAATGCAAAATTATGTCACCCTCCCATTCAGTAATGCAAACTGGGTTCTTATTGTCACTGATTCTTTTTTAGCTGTTTTGAAAATAGATGAGCATCAACTTGTGTTTTCACTTTTAACATTTTTAACTTTAAAAATTTTAGAGCACTTCTAGACACTGCTTCTTTTATTTATTTAAGAGAGAAATTTCATGTTTCTACCATATTTACAAAAGTCCACAAAACTAATTTTTAAATACTGTCTTTGTATCTTTTAGGTGAGTTGCATTTTTGTTTGAACACAGCTTGACAAAAATACTGTGTAAAAACTCAGCTAATAAATAAAATTTAAAGAACTTGGGTAGCTTCAGTTAAACCATAATTTACCAAGTCAGCAGCTTTTAAGTGTAACTCTTGCTTCTTTGATTTGATTTTTCTTTTCATAAAAGTTTTAAGAAACCAACAGTGAAAATATATACTGATTTAGAAAGCATGAGTTACTTGGAAATATGTTTTCATTTCTTGGAGATCTTCTCTGTTTGGAAAGAGATTCATTGGATCTTAGTAGACACTATGATTAAAATTTCCACAACCTCTGGCTATTAGAACTTCATATGTTTTTGGTAAATGCATAAATGACCCCATAGATGTTAAAGGTTTATTTAACTGTGTTGCAAACTTAGTCATACTTTACAGACTGGAATCTTAAATACTTTTGTAAGCTTAAACATCTCCACAGCCTCCTGAGAAGGGGAAGTGAAAGGGAGGTGCTGAGCTTTTCTCCTTGATATCCAGTGGTAGGACCTGTGGGAATGGTTCAGAGGTATGCCAGGGGAGGTTTAGACTGGACATTAGGAAACATTTATTTACTGAGAGCATGGTCACATGCTGGAACGGCCTACCTAGAGAGATGGTCAATGCCCCAAGCCTGTCAGTGTTTTAAGAAGCATTTGGACAATGCACTTAATAACATGCTTTAACTTCTGGTCAGCGCTGAGGTGTTCAGGCAGTTGGACTAGATGATCATTGTAGGTCCCTTCCAAATGAAATAGACTCATCCTTTCGCTTCCCTTCCTCCTTCGCTTTCCCCTTCCCTTTCCTCTTTTCCTTTTCCTCTTTTCCTTTTCCTCTTTCCCTTTCCCTTCCCCCTTCCCTCCCCTTCCCCCTTCCCCTTCCCTTCCCTCCCCTTCCCCCTTCCCCTTCCCACTTCCCCTTCGCACTTCCATTCCCCCTTCCCTCCCCTCCCCCCTTCTCTCTTCCCCCTTCTCTCCCCTTCCCCCTGCCCCTTCCCCCTTCCCACTTCCCCTTCCCACTTCCCCTTCCCACTTCCTTTCTCCTCCCTTCCCTTCCCTTCCCTTCCCTTCCCTTCCCTTCCCTTCCCTTCCCTTCCCTTCCCTTCCCTTCCCTTCCCTTCCCTTCCCTTCCCTTCCCTTCCCTTCCCTTCCCTTCCCTTTTATTCTCCTGGTTTTTTTTGCTGAATTTACCTTGTACACAATCTAATCCATTTTGCTTCATGAACAGCCTTAATCCATCTACCTTGACCTTTACAGAGCACATGCCTGCTGTGATTTTCAACCTGTCACTGTAGCAGTCCCATGAAGCAAAACATTCCTCTGTATTCACAAGCCTTATATTGCACTATTTCCATATATACAATCTATGTAATAATCATACAGATTCTGTTCTCTCTCTGCCAATGCTAAACTATGGATTTCACTTCCACTGCAATACTTGTAAATTACGACATATTAACATTGCTAGAACAAGTATTTGCAAGGCTAGAAACTGAAGTAAATACTGTGATTATTCACAACTGTATTCCAAACAATTTTTATGTCTTGTGAAGCATTTTGTATCCCAGAGACAAATGAGATATATGCTGTAGGTTGTTTTGCATTGAATATAAATTTTATTTTTTCTATAAATACCAACTAAAGCATTTCAATTTTTTTTTTCAGAACATGAGGGTGCGGACAGTGAAAGGACAAGACTACTATTCTAAAACAGGAGCAAAATTCCATGGAAAAATGGAACAAAAATTTATTCTTGTTGACTGTAAGAAAGTCATATATGGTTCTTACAGGTAAGATCAGTCACTGTGGTGTCCACAGAAAATCTGTTATCTCAGTACCTCTCCTACTGCAAATTCTTTTTTTCTAATGTTTATGAATATTCTTCCAGAGAACTCTGTGGGCAAATTTAATTATATTTTCTGCAGTTTAACAAGATGTCATAGATACTTATTACTAACTAGCCTAACACAGAGCCAAATTCTGAGGTCCTCTGTTAGTTTTTCACAAACAAGAAATGAAAGATACAGCTTTTGCCATAGCTGGAGATTTGCTAAAAAGAGGGAAAAATCCTGTGTTGTCTTGTATTGTTTGAATTATTCTTGTTTAACATTCACTGTGGAAATGGCTGCCAGAATTATTTCATAAGCTTTCTTGGATAGTTCCTCCTTATAATAATATTCTAAAGCTTACATCGACCTCTTCTGTGGCACTCTGTAGTATATCATGGTCAAATTCAGAATTGCCAAAGTTAAGTTGACATAGTTTCTCTTTATATTTTGCTAAGTTTCTTTATTCTGCTTTCCATTTTATTTCCAGTGTATGTGTGCAAAGCATAGGCTGGAAGAACTTACAGCTTTGCAGAGCTGGAAAAAACACCTAAGTTAAAGCACAGGCAGTTTTATCTCACACATTCTGAAATATTTTTGTTCTTTTCATACTACACTTTTCTTCTCTGGCCTACTGAAATAGTTTCTGCTAGTGCACTGCCTCGGTGCCAGATCCACAGCCACTGACTTTCACAGATTTCCACCACTGTAAGCTTTTGAAAATCTGGCTTTTTATTTCCTCTGAGATTCAGCCAGCCCCAAATTCCAACTGATGTATATAAATGATAGTGAGGTAAGTGACAAGTTCATAAATGAACAAGTATAAAAGAGTCCAGGGAGAGTCTGCCTGTTTTGATATCCATACACAGTGGTAGAGAATGTGATAGTTTTTCTCATTTCATTTTGAAAAATAACATCACTCTAAGACCTAGCACCCCAGGGACTGGAATCACCAGTTTCTGTAGCAATTAAACTTGCTTTCTGAAAGAATATAGTGATTAACAAGAACGACGACTCTTTCGGAAATCTTGCTCTCTCAACTCAATTTAAAGTTTAGGGTTTTTTTTCAAATATTACAAAGTATATTATTATTAATTGTGTAAATTAATATAAAAAAACTTATGTAACATGATTCAATCTCAGGACACCATTATTTCCTGAAAAATACAAAACTAACAAATTTAGCAGGCCATTTACATGAATACAACAAACCTATTTTCTAACATCCAGAAGACAGATGCAAATAAAACAAGATCATTGATTTAATTTTTTTCACTTTTTTTTTTCATGAATAGAGTATTGCAAAATAGGGTGGGTTTTTTCATTGTAATATAAAAATGTTATGGTTTTGTCACCATGATATTAGGCTTGTTAAAACACCCCTTATATACATGTTAGTCTATTTTATCTCATTTTGTAGCTGTAAAGTAGCTATAGCTACTTAGCTTTGAGCATGTGTTCAGCCTTTCTAAGTACAATAGAAAATACGAAAATTTCCTTCATCAGAATATCATTATTGCAGTTAAAAGAAATGTTCATAGCCAATCTGGTGTGCATAGTAAAAAATGTAAACTTCTTAACAATTCTGAGGTGCATCTTACTGAAAATGTGTTTAGAGTGAAGTACATTCAGAGCTCTTGAAGCAGTTCTGGATATTATTTCAATTTCAATTTTTTTTTTCACAACAATCACACAGTAGCATTTTCTGACTCAGGAGTAAACACAGTGGGTCTAGTAAATCATGGCTTAGTTTTTGTAGACATAATTTTGCTCCATTAGGTATTTGTACTCCACTGTTCTACATTTGTGAATACGTTTTTGCAATATCCACTTTTTTAAGGGCAATTAAGTAGTTAGAGACTCATTTTCGCTCTCACAGAAAGCAGTGGAAAGTCTCCAGCTGAGTTTGGTATTCAATTAGACCTTTGAAATCCAAATGACATGAATCATGACCACAATTTATTTATTTATTTAGAAGTATTTGAAAAAAAAGAACAGGTCTTGTGAAAGTTAGGTGCCTAAATACCTCCACTGAAGTGAAAGCTTTCTTCTCAAGAAGGACCAGTGTAACACTTTTAGTTCAAGAGAACTGTTTCTAATGGTCATTTGTTCTTCTTTCAGCTTTATGTGGTCATTTGAAAAAACCAACCTCAGTATGGTTCAGGTTATCACAGGACAGCTGGTTGAATCCTTTGATGAAGAGTTCAGAACACTATACGCCCGTTCTTCTGTTCCTAGTTCATTTGCCCCAGAATTAGTGCGGGTAAACAGTCGCAGGACACTTTGGGATAGTGATACATACCAACACTCAGTGTCTTCCTTGGCTTCAGTTTCTAGCCAAAGAAACCTTTTTGGTAGGCAAGACAAAGTTCACAAGATAGATCCTGTTTGTTGGAAAACTCGTGGAAGATATGCAGTAAATGAAATAGATAAATATGGTTTGAGAAATCAATCCTATAATAAACAGCCATTCCATCCAGGTTTCAATATGCAAAATCCAATCCAGCAGTATCAACCTAGTGAAAAAAATGAGCACTGGAAGAGACACAGTTATGCTGGGGAGAAACCAGAAAGAACACCTTACCTATTGCTCAACAGAGCTATTAATAGAGCCAACAATCCATCAAATACTTGGAAAATGGCATCTGATAGCCTTAGTATTGTTTCTTCATTACGAGGAGGGTATGCAAATAACTACAATACACCCCAGCAAAGTTTTGCTGATCAGTTTTCACGACCAAAGGTAAATCTTGCAGAAAGAAACTCAATTGTACGGAGGTCTTTTAATGGGACAGATAACCATATCCGCCATCTGCAGCAAAGGATGCCAACCCTCGAACACACAACAAAATCATTCCTACGTAACTGGCGAATTAAGTCATATTTGAATGATCAGTCAGATTATCCAGTAGAGTCTAATGGGTCAGCCTTGGGTGACAGATATGATAGCTATGACACACCTGAAAATATTAAAGCTCATGCACTGTACTCTCATTCTCGTTTACGATCATCATTGGTATTTCAGCCAACTTTACCTGAACAGCAGGAAGTAAGCAGCTGTGCAAGTTCTTCAAATTCAACTATAATTGGGTCAGAGGGAAGTGCAACACCTAAAGGGACATCTAATCATGCTCCAAGTGTGGAAAATGGGACAGATGATAATATTTCAGAAGAGCCTAGCACAAACATTCCACCTAAATCAGATACATCAATACCCCCCAGAATTCATATTGCAGACAACACAAAACCTAGTGTAAATTCAAATGCAGCAGGTGACTCATCTGTCTACTTGTACACTACACTGTGTGCAGACAAACATGCTGAAAACGTGAAGAACCTTCAAAATGAAAATATGCTGAAACGGAGAAGTTTTCCCATGTTTAATTCAAAGTCCATTTTAGACACTGGTGCCAACAAACATGCATCCAATTATGTTTACAGCACATTAACTAGGCATAGACTTAAGCAGCCAGTTAGTCCAAAACTTCCAGAAGACATGCTGAAGAGCACTAAAAGTTTGCACAGTGTGACAAACCACTTGCCACAGGAGGAAAAGAACCTCAAAGAAGAGCTAAAGAGTCCAACTGCTAGCAAGGCAGTCTCTATGGCTGCTCTCACTGATCCTAGCAAGGAGGAGTCTAGTAAGGACTGCACATCAAAGAAAGAAAGTAAGAGTTCCCCAAGTTTTCTAAAGAAAGGATCCCAGAAACTGCGGTCACTTCTTAATCTCACACCAGACAAGAAGGAAAACTTGTCAAAAAACAAAGGTCCTGCATTTTATAGAATGTGTAGTAGTTCTGATACATTGGTTTCTGAAGAAGAGAATCAAAAACCAAAGATGTCTGAGAATAAGACAGATTCTTCCCCAAGGAGAAAGAGAAACACATCATCAAATTCTCAAGGTAGCTTGAACAGAAGTAAAGAAGATGTTACCGGGAGCCCAACAAAGTCTCCAAAGTCTCCAAAGTCACCAAAACCTCAAAAAACTCCATCTGATGAAAGCAATAAAAAGTGTCCTCTCTTGTGCCCCCTTGAAAGTAAGTTCATAGAAACTGCAGGAGATCCATCTACCCCAAGATTTAATACAGAACAGATTCAGTATCAAGATGTAAAAGAAACCACCACAAATACTACTCCTGAAAGTGCTCCTGTCTCTGCTCTTCAAAGAGCAAGTTCAGTGACACCGCAGCTGGCAAGCTCAAAATGCCAAGAGGAGCTAAGATCTCGTTTGAGTGAAAGGCGTGTTTATAGTCGCTTTGAGCCATTCTGTAAGTTGGAAAATTCTAGCCAACCTGCAGGAAATGTACCCAACAGTAGTTTACATCTCTCAGATATCAAAAGCAAGACCTTAGGGAATAATTACGGCAGGAGCAATCACATGGTCAGCTACAACTCAACCGCTTATCATCCATTGCAGCCTAATGAAAATAAGCTGAGAGGATTTATGCAAAAGTTTGGGAATTTCCTACACAAAAACAAGTAAAACTTTTGTTGATTATGTTGAAATACAGCAAGAGTAGCAAAGCTGTGTATAATCTTAACTGGACAAGACTGGTGGGCAACTTTTGTAGAGCTTACTTGGGTTTCTTCTTGGGTCTAGGATATTGGAATGAATGTACATATTTTCACATAATTATCCTAGAATTGTTATACTTAAATCTTTACAGGAATTCTGAGTCCGGAAGATGTCTCAAGGGAGTTGTTTATAGTGTTTATATTGTAAGATTAATTTTATACATTTTCCTTGTGGAGAAAGTATGTACTAGAGTATTGTAAGATCAAGTGTGGGGGAAAAAAAGATGGAGGATATTTTTAAACTTCCAGTAACACTGTTTCCAAAGATTTGCCCTTTAAAATTAGAATAGCACTAGGAATAGTGGCTTGCATTTTTTCAGCATTTATGTAGACTTTCAAGTGATAGTCAAATGTTAACGCATTGTATGTTACTTACCTTTCATTTTTTAAAACCTCTTTTAGGCTTCATCTTGTTAAAAATGTACCCCTTAACATCTATTGAATTGTTTGGGCAGCAGATGGACCTGTCTTATTTTATTGAGTTTTGCAATGTAATATGATATTTTTCTGAACTATTTGGCACACAGATCTGAAAGTGACCTTAATCTGAGCTTTCACAGACTTGTTTACATGGTTAAACTACTGTGAATGTAGAATGAACATTAAAAAAAACCTATTTATAAATAAGGTGCCTTGAATGTAACTTAGTTTAAATTTCAATGGGTTAATTACATTTTTATAACATGCCAGTATTCTGTAATGTATTCTAAAAATAGCTTTTTGTTTCATATGTCTATTTGGTGTTTCAAAAAAAAACGTCTGTGGACTTCTATTTCTCAGGTAAGTTTTTGAGTTTCTCATGCAACAATCTCTTTTACAAGTTGCCAGATACATATGCAACTTTGGCTTTAATAACCAATTTTTTTTTAATAAGGTTGCGAGTACTTAGACTAGGCATATGAGGGAGATTGCAAGCTTAATTCTGCAATGCTGCCTTATGTCAGGATGAATATTACAAGGCCAGGAGCATCTAAAAATGAGTTTAGGAAAAGTCACTATGTCAAACAATAAAGCACCTCTCCTAAGCCAAAGTAGTAAAGGGTCATAGCAGTAGCAACTGTTAACCTCAGTGGAGGTATTTAGCACCCAGCTGCAGTCTAAAAGACACATTTTTATTCATCTGAGTCTCTTAGTCATGAAATATGATATTGAGTGACTATGCCAGGTTAGTGTTTCCAGGAAACACCAGGAGGGTGATGTGTTTGGGCAGCAGCATGGCATCCACTTCTCATCTGCAGTGTGCAGCTAGAATATCCAGCTGGATCTCACCCTCCTGACTGTGGAGTTTGCCTCTTAGAAGAATGCCATAATGATTTAGCTGCAAGATGTTCTGTGACAGTTTTGTTCCAAATTCAGAGATTTTGGAAAATTCATTGTTGAAAGCTTATAATTCTTATACAGGGTCTTTGTGTTGAAGGCTCCTGTTTTAGGAGACCACTTCACCCTTATATCTGAAAGGTCCTCCACTATGGAGAAGTCGCACTAGTAAGGTCTTGGCTTTATCCTTTAGAAACAAAACTGCATTTCATGCACCAGCTAGCTCGAGTTCATTTGTCTCTTCTACCTGTGGCCCTGGGAAGAGATTTTATATGGAAATTCCACTGAGAATCTGTTCTGGCTCCTGGGAACTTGCCTTAGTTAACTGTCAGTGATTTCAGTGAAGCGGTGCCAGCTTTTTAGTCAAAGTGTTTCTCAGGCAACCTTATTAGGCTGATGTATCATAGCAGTAACTGTTTCACTGTGGGGATGATTTTTATTTATGAGAGTGACAGTCTTGCATCTCGATCTTCTGCTGAGAGTTTATGTCTCTGCTTTACCTGTGACCACAGAAGAGATGTTACGAATTTCTTGAGGAACACTGGTGACTTTGTTCACTCCTTGCTGAAATGCCATAGTTGTCATTTTTCCCCAACAAACATTTATACTGAAATATTCTGTCCCAACAAAGGGAGCTTTTTCAGACCCAAAGCAAGGAGTGTCTTCTTAGTACTCCAGACAAATTTTCAATATAGGCACAACATACTTCCGCAGCCAACAGCAATGCAGAACAGTACTTTTTGTAACTCTTAATATTTTTTAACATGGCAAACAGTTATCCAGGATAGTGCCCAAATTAACAGTGCAGCAAAGGAACTTAAGATGTAGGTGGTGCTAAAAATGGTGGGGGTAGCTTTTAGGAGGATCTTTGGTTTTTCCTCATACTCTCACAAGTTCTGGCATACACTTGTAGGCACTGCTATATTTGGGAAGAAAATCAGAGAGAAGAACAATGGTTTTGAGGCAAGTTTTGAAGTGATAGTGCTTTCCGTTTTGTAATAAACTTTGGGAAACTTGTTTTAATACAATTTGGAAATATTGTACTGTATTTTTCAAGTAGATTGCTAATAAAACAGACTTGAGAAGTCAGATATTTAAATTTACCAAGTCATCTATGTTTATAGGTATATACTGCTATTTTGTACCTATTTTGTACCCAAGAGATTAAGGGCCTTCAGTGAAGAGCCTGCTCATAGACTTAATAAAAAAAAATCACAGTAGAAATAGGTTTTTTTTTATATATATATTTTTTTAATTTATTTTCAGGTCTCTCCTAGAGATCCCACACAGGAATGTTGCTACATTAAGGCCTGATCCAAGGTTAATTTAAATGAATGCAAAAGGCCAGCACGGACCTCAGTGGAAATAGGATCAGGCACTTAATGTACTGACACCACTACTTTAGAAATGTTCCAAGAGCCAATGCTGCCTGGGGAGCAAGAGGCTCTGACATCACGGGAAGAGCAGCCTAGTGCCCTGACTGCAGATGTGGCTTTGGAGGTGGGGAGAATACTGGGGAGCTCCACAGGTGGTGCAAGGACCAAGTGCTAGTTTGCTTCCTCCAGATTTGTGTGTTAAAGGTGGGAAATCAATGCTTGTCCAGCCCTCTCTGATTTGCCTCATGTTTCTGTGGGAACCCAGCTGTTCACAAAATAGAAAAGTATGGGGCAGGGGGAAGATACCGGCATCCGCAAAGAAAAAAGATATGCACGTTTCTGGAGAGAAAAATAGAGTTTATATTTTTGAACTTCCTTTTCCCAAAGCTTATCTTAATGTTTCTGCTTTTCGAAGGAGATGCATTTCATTCAATGTGTCCTAAATGTGCTGTGTGCATTGAAGGTTTGTTACACCCCACACACACCCAATGCACTCCCAGTTTTGTAAGGCTGTGGAGTAACAGCTGTTGCCATGCATGACGGTCATTTGGCCAAATGTCTTGGCAGTTGTGAAACCCATAAAAAAATGACATACCATTTCCACATTAAATAAAACTCCATTAGAACCATAATAGCTCTGGGAGGGTGGCCATGCAAAATCTGATCAGAGTTACACAGTACTGCACCACTGGTAGCAGAGCACAGAGCAGACGGGCGATACATACAGTGCCCATTCAATTCACATTATAAATAAACTACCCTTACTTATGATCTTAATACCCAGTGAATAAATTGCTTCATTTCTTTAGCCTTGTAATAAGCAGTCTCAGATTGCAAAATGTCAGTTGTTCTCTTCTTAAGGAGCTTACACTGCACTTTTTTTTCATGCTAACAAACATTAAGTAGATGTACAGAAAGGCTAAGAAGTAAAAAAAAAATATTTAATTTTCAGCTGCCTAATACATGAGGGTGGTAGAATTTGTTACAAACAAAAAGCTAATCAGGCAATAGATGTTTGTGCATCAATAAGTGAAAAATTACTGTTCAGAGAAAAAAATGTTTGATCATTTTTCAGCTTTTTGAAATGCATTAGGAAATGTCATGTTTATAAAAGAAGACACAAGAAAAAGAATACTAAAATCTGTTGCAAGACAATGTAAAAATAAAATTGAAAATGGCTCCACTAAGCTGTATGATAATTACAGTTTATTTTTTCATTTGTAGCATTACGTGGGATAAGCTGTACAACCAACAAGTAGCTTTGCAAGTGTGTAGCACAGAGAGATCAGTGAGGTTACTGTGGTACTTTTTGTAATTGATCCCCTGTATCAATATTGTACTGCACAGTACAGTACTCAGGATTTATAGCTTGGTTTCTTTAGGTCAGGAGATTTTGAGCAATATAAAGGTGCAGTAGTTCAGGGGTAACTGAAACATGTTACTCCAGTTTTGTCTTCACTTGCATAAGTACATATTGCATTAGCACCGCAGTGTCAAGAGAGGAGACTGCAATGCTCAAAAAGCCATCTCGCCATTTCATTCTTTATTTCATACAGGTGCTAAAGATGTCTTCTTACCTTTCTGTAAGCTCTGAAATTTTTCATCATTTTCAATTCAAAACTAAGAGTTGCAGTTAGATCTCCATCTTTTCACATTTTGACAAGGTGCCAAATACATGTTTGGTGTTCTGAGTAGTCTTTCTCTGTTGAGAAACAGGATGGAAAAAAACATTTGCTCTTGGACAGCTCAGAACAGAGCTGCTTTGCTGTTAGGCAAAGGTAGCAGTACAGATTTCTACTTTAGTAACATTGACTAGTGAAGATTTAATCCCTTGAGCTTCATTCTAGTTTAGAATGGTCCCATCCCCACCCGACCCACACACATCCTAGCCTGGTCAGTATTTCAAACAGTTTTTACATATGTAACATTTTAAAATGTGGTAGAGTCCTATTTCTGAAAAGCTAGGGGATATAGGGAGCTATATAGGATATAGTATATAGGATATAGGGATTCCCAAATCAATTCTTTTTATATCTTGAAAATCATAGAATCAACCAGGTTGAAAAAGACTTTTAAGATCAAGTCCAACTGTAGACCTAGCACTGTCAAGTCCACCACTAAAGCATGTCACTGAGGGCCCCCATCTACATGTGTTTTTAATACTTCCAGGGATGTGATTTTACCACTTCCCTGGGCAGCCTGTGCCAATGCCTGATCACCCTCTCAGTGAAGAAATTTTTCCTAATATCCAATCTAAACCTCCCTTGGCACAGCTTGAGGCCGTTACCTCTTGTCCTATCACTTGTTACTTGGGAGAAGAAACCGGCCCCCACCTCACTACAGCCTCCTTTCAGGTAGCTGAAGAAAGTGATAAGGTCCCTCCTGAGCCTTCTCCAGACTAAACAACCCCAGTTCCCTCAGCTGTTCCTCATCAGACTGGCGCTCTGGACCCTTCATCAGCTTTGTTGCACTTTTCCTTGGACACGCACCAGCACCTCAATGACTTTCTTACAGAGAGGTCCAGAACTGAACAAAGGATTTGAGGTGCAGCCTCACCAGTGCAAAGTACAAGGGGATGATCACTGCTGGGGCCCTGCTAGCCACACTATTCCTGATACAAGCCAGGATGCTACTGGCTTTCTGGGCTCCCTGGGCACAAGCTGGCTTATTATAAACCCACTGTCCACCAACACCTCCAGATCCTTTTCTGCCACCCAGCTTTACAGCCACTCTCTCTCAAGCTTGTAGCACTGCATGAGGTTGTTGTCACCCAAATGCAGGACCTAGCACTTCTTCTTGTTGAACCTTATACAACTGGCCTCAGCCCATTGATCCAGCCTGTCCAGATCCCTCTGTAGATCTTTCCTACCCTCAAGCAGGTAAACACTTACAGCCGACTCAATGTCACCTGCAAACTTACTGATGGTGCACTCACTCCCCTAATCCAGATCTTTGATAAAGATATTGAACAAAACTTTCACCAATACTGAGTCCTAGGGAACACCATTTGTGACCAGTTGCCAACTGAATTTAACTCCATTCACTCTTAGGGCTTGGCCAGCAGAGAGTACACCCATCCAAGCCAGCTTATACAGAAGAATGTTGTGAGAAATGGTGTCAAAGACTTTACTAAAGTCTAGGTAGACAACTTCCACAGCCTTTCCCTCATCAACTAAGTGGGTCATCTTGTCACAGAAGGAGATGAGATTTGTCAAGCAGGACCTGCCTTTCATAAACCCATGCTGACTGGCCCTGACCCCTGGTTGTCCTGTACGTGATGGCACTCAAGATGATTTGCTTCATAACCTTCCATAGCACCAAGGTCAGTCTGACAGGCCTGTAGTTCCCTGGATGCTCCTTCTGGCCCTTGCTGTAGACAGGCATCGCATCTGTTAATCTCCAGTCAGCTAGAACCTCCCCAGTTAGCCACGACTGCTGGTAAATGTTTGAAAGTGGCTCAGTGAGCCCTTCCACCAGCTCCCTCAGTACCCTTGGATAGATCCCATCTAGCCACAGCCACTTGTGTGTGTGTCTAAGTGATGAAGTGATGTGGCAGGTTGCTGACTGTTTTGCCTGGGACTGGGGGTTCATTCTGCTTCCTGTTCCAGGCATGCAGTTCAGGGGCCTGGTACACAGAGAACAACTGGTCTTACTACTAAAGCCTGAGGCATCAAAGGCATTAAGTACCTCAGTCTTTTCATCATTGTTTGTCACTATGTTTCCTTCTGCATTCAGTGAACGATGGTGATTCTCCTTAGCCCCCCTTTTGTTGCTGATGTATTTACAGAAGCATTTTTTCTTGTCTGTTATGGTAGTATCCAAAATAAGTTTTAGTTGGGCTTTAGCCCTTCTAATTTTGTTCCTTCATAACCTCATGAAATCCTTGTAGTCCTCCTGAGTTGCCTGTCCCTTCTTCCAAAAGCCACAAACTCTCTTTTTTTGCATATTTTTACAAAATATCTTTATCTATTTCTGGAAAAGAATCTGGTTTACTAAAATGATGGGACATCCCTTCAGAAGAAGCTGCTATGAAGACTATGCATTTTTCTCCCACTATGTGTTGTTACACTAACTAAAAATGCAATGAATAAGTGCAGAAGGTAGAAAAATAATTTCTGATGCAAAGACCATGATACATATTTATTTTCATATTATGGCTTCCATATGTAAATACAGCTGGGAAAAAAAAATAAAAATGCCTCTTTCCAAAACAGGCAAAATTTATGGCAGCTGAAGCAGAAATATTTAGACTAAGCACCAGTGGCAACATTTTACTGGTTTTGGGGAATGAGTGCAACTTACTAGCATTCAAACACAGGACTCTTACATGTCCATTGTACATTGTCTATTCCTGCCTCATTTAGCAGTTAACGTGCTCAAAATTCAGACTGAATGTCTACAGCTTCCCAAGCTCTTGAATAATACTCTGAAGGACTGATCCAGTAATATTAAACACACACTTAGCTTTTTAAACTAAACTGTCACAGGGTAAAGCATAAGAACAAGCATACATATTTTGTTAGATTTTGATGTAAAAAAAAAATCTCAGTGTAGTCCTTTCTGATGTATTTTGGAAAACTGATGACTATATAAATTCATTCTTTTCTTTGGGTCATGTCTAATTTTGACCCTTGGCAACATCACATTTTGACATCCTGTCTGGTATGTTTCTTCCAAATGCTGCATATGCAGGTGTTAAAATATCTTTATTCTGGTTTCAGAATAATGATAGAAGACCAGTCTTCCTTAGAGCAGGGTCTCTGGATCCCTCGCAATCCCTAAGATTTCAAAAGGGGAGATGGAACTGAGTTTGAATTACTAGAAAACCTCAGACAAAACAAAACATCATTTGTATATATTTCCACATACAGAAAAGTAAGCAAGTAAAATCAGAACATGAAGTTGGAGGTGAACATTCATAGTATACTTTTTTTCAGTTGAAAATGAAATCTGGTACACCAACGCTGCAGGAATAATAATAATAATCAGGTGCTCTTTGATGAAACCGATCTAGATGACGCAAAACAAGTGTGAGGTGTGCTAGAAACACACAAGACCCAGAATGGATATGGCTGGGAAATTTCAAGAGGGGGAAAAGGGAGGAATTCCATCAAGTTGGTTTCAGTACTTTCAGATGTAAGAGACTGTGCTGTTTTAATTTAAAATTGTTACTTGGTATGTAAATCCTTTTTTTAAAGATGGAATTCCTGGATTACATAGCAGCTATGTTATGGATATACTGTGTATGTAGAGATACAAACCAAAAAAGTGCTTGAAATAATTTATTACTTTTGGATTTTTTTTACCAATTAAAATGTTTTAGTTAAAGCTTAGCTCATTTCTGTGTTCTTGTGTTCATACTGTTGCTAACATTTCTCATTTCAAAACCATCTTTGTAAAAAACCCTGGCATCAGAAATCTTGAGTGAAATGGAGTAAACTGAGGTCTCAAACCTGCTTTGTGGGAGCATCACTGTTTGTAGAAGTGCTGCACCTTCTACAGGACCAAGAGTTCACACAGAGAAAGGACCAAAGCCAACAGCACTTAAATGAAAAATTTATGGAATAACATATAGGTAACAATAAGCTGGATGAGAAATTAAACAGGGTAAGATCCACTGTGTTAGTATCCAATGTTTACTTTCAGAGCCTTGCATCACTTCCTTGCTCTGACATACTGGATTTGTTTGCCTTCCTGTTAATTCTGCCTTGCTAGCAAGGTTGTTTCCTTTTTCCATATCCACCTTAATTTCATTTCCTATTTATATGAAACATCCCTCAGAAATGTTTACCTGCTTCTTGCCTTGTAAGCACTTGAAAAAATCACATCCATCAATTGCTTGCAAGAATTTACTTCAGACAATTCCATGCATGAGTGCATGCTACTACTAAATGGCTCATGAGAAATTGATTTTGAGTCCTGAATATTTGCTCAGTGCCTTTGAAAAACCAGTAGGAAACATAGTAGCCTTCCTGAACAGCTCATAGTCTATATTTAAACTCACTGGAAGGAGGAAATGAAGAGAGGAAGTGGAAAGTGCAAAAGACAAAGGTTATAGAACAGTGGGGTGGTTGCACAGTTGCCACATATGAACACTTTGATGGTTGGGGTTGTGTATGCATGCAGGTACATGCACGTACCCATATGCGTAATACCAAGACTCCTACAGGAACTTCTACTTACATAG